CTGGGGTGGCCCAGGGACAGTAACCTACTGCAGGGTCCGGACACATTTCTGCCTAAAGCCGCTGGGTTTCAAGATTTGTTTCTGAGTCTCTGGGATTAAGGCCATTAAGCAGCTTGATCAGGAGCCAGAGAGGCCATTCGTGGGTGATGACTTGGGGTCTCGTTGGGGAGGGAAGGACAGGCCCAGCTTCCCCCCCACCCCTCATCCCGTGAGGCCCAACAAGTTTTGTCACTGCGGGCCCAAGCCTGACTGTCCAATGGCCTCTGGAGGATGACGGCCACCGAGCCGCCAAGAGGGAGCAGGTGGAGTGACAACACCCTTTCCTCCCTGGAGTGGCCCGGCGACAGTAACGTACTGTGGGGTCCGGACGCATTTCTGCCAAAAGCCACTGGGTTTTGAGATTTGTTTCTGAGTCTCTGGGATCATGGCCGTTAAGCAGCTGGATCAGGAGCCAGAGAGGCCATTCGTGGGCGATGATTTGGGGTCTCATTGGGGTGGGAAGGACAAGTCTGGCTCCACCCCCCATCCCATGAGGCCCTGTGTGTCTCGTCACTGGGGGCCCAAACCTGACTATCCAGTGGCCTCTGAAGGATGGCGGCCACTGGGCCGCCAGGGGGAACAGGCCAAGGCACGAAACCTATTCCCACCTGGGTTGGCCCAGCACCGGTAACCTACTGCAGGGACCGGATGCATTTCTACCTAAAGCCGCTTGTTTCCAAGATTCATTTCTGAGTCTCTGGGATCATGGCCATTAAGCAGTTCAATCAGGAACCAGAGAGGCCTTGCCTCCAATTATATAGCTGAGCCGGAGGTGGTTTGTGGGTGTGTTTCACACATACCGAACTTTTGGCCATTTACTTTCTTGGTAAACTTTGCCCCAAGTTTTTGGGGTCTGGCCAAAGGCACAGCAACAATTTTGGGGTATCTGGAAGTCTGAAGGCGCCATCAGGCTGCTGATGCCCTCGCCTCACAGGTACAGATTGACCTGCTGGCAGCACCATACCCCGTATAAGAAAAATTTTTGAGTTATTGTTGTTTTGGAAAACTGCCTTTTTAACTGGCAACACATACATTTTTTTTCCCCACTTGAAGACAAACTTAGTATGATGATGACTACTTGTGTAAACGGAGCTACAGCTTTAGGAGGGCTGACAAGCAAGTTTGACATCCAGGAATAACAGCATAAGACTTTCAGCTCCCACAACCCGCTATAGCTTATGAATGGGTAAACTTCAGGCTACCCTTGGTGGTGGCTGGAGGGGACTGGATCTAGATTAGTTTATACAATTAGAAAAAAAAACAATTTTAGAAGTAATATTTAGTATACACACAAAACTTTCATAAAGTATACTTTCAAGTGAATATTCATGTAACCAAAATATTTTGTAGTTGTTTACACATGGCTATCTCAAACAACCTTAACATGTAAACACTGTAAAAAAGGAATATAGAATCAGAGAGATTACATGAGCTAAGACTTTTTTTTGGTCTTTTTGGGTCACACCAGAGATGCTCAGAGCTTACTCCTGGCTCTGCACTCAGGAATCAATCCTGCTGGTACTCAGTGGACCATATGGGATGTCGTGGATTGAACCCAGGTCAGCTGTGTAAAAGGCAAACACCCTACCTGTCCTCTGGCTCTCTAAGCTAAGGTTTTGAGTGTGGTAAACCCTGGTGCAGCCCTGGAAGTCCTGAGAACCATAAGGGTGTCCCAAGTAATCTCTAGCACCATAGGGTTTGAGCAGTTATGAGCTCTCATTGCATTGAACCACCAGCCTGATTGACCTAGAATCAATGGGAGGGACCCTTGGGTCTCCTGAGCACTGCCATGAGGACTTTATCAAACTAATAAATAAACAAAACAGGAGTTGGGTGGATAGCTCAAAGAGCTAGACCACCAACTTTGCATGTGGGACTCCTGGATTCCCCTAGCGCAGATGAGCACTACTGGGTGTGGTTCCAAAGCTAAGACAGAAGAGAGATTTTTTAAAAAAAAAAGGAAAAAGAGAGAAATGAAAGAAGGAAAAGAAAGGAGGAGAAAGAAAGAAAATAAGGGGAGAAAGAAAGAAAATAGGAGAGGAAAAAGGAAGGAAGGAAGAAAAAAAGAAAAGAAAGAAAGAATGAAGGAAAGAAAGAAGGAAGGAAGGAAGGAAGGAAGGAAGGAAGGAAAGAAAAGAATGGTTATCAGCACAGGAATGGGCTCAGTGGTAGACATATGCTTTGTAATATTAATTTTCTTTGGGAATCAAACTCATGGTCACACATGTGAAAGGCAAATGCACTACCACTAAGCTACATCCCCTCACATCTATTTATATTTATGCCTAATATTTAAGAATAAAAATTAATGTATCACATGAATAAGCCCAAATAAGACCATTTCCTAATTGAATGTGAGAGAGAAGTGCAGGGCCTAGGCTGGCAAATGCATTAACTGAAAGAAGGTTGAAGGAAAAAAATATCATTTCACAGCCAAAACAGATTAAAAAAATAGTGGAAAAGAATAAATAGAATGGATGAGAACAGCTTTTTGTTTTGTTGTTTTGGGGCACACCTGTTGGCGTTCAGGGATTACTCATGGTTCTCTGCTCAGGGGTCATTCCCAGCAGTGCACTGGGGACCATATGTGATGCTGGGGGTCACACCAGAGTTGGCCACTTGCAAAGCTAGTACTTTAGTCCTGTACTATTTCTTTTGCCCCCCCCCCTTTTTTTTTGGCAGGGGAGGGAATTTGTGCCAAACCTGGTGGTGCTCAGGGCTTACTCCTAGCTCTGTGCTTATGATTACTCCTGGCAGGGCCTAGGGGACCATATATGGTGCTAGGGACCACCCCTGGGTGGGCCACATGCAAAGAGAACAGCCTTAAATTGATATGAGGGTTGCAGAAATCATCTTGAGTCCCAAATAGCCTTAGAACAGTAAGCTCAGAGGAATTCTTCCTTAATCTTGGGAGCTAGAGCTACAGACCATCTTTGTATCATACTGAGAAAAACAAGAGGCTAAGCAAATGAAGCCATGGCATTCTAGGAGCTTTTCAGGTAGCACCCAGAAAAGGTCTGCATTCTCCCTAGCCCCATTTCCTCATTCCACTGACCACACACAGGCACATCACACATACTTCTCCCAGAAGGCAATCTGGAGGCTTGTGGGAAGGGCTATAGGCACCTTCTCAGCCATATGTCATTTTGTTCTTAACACTTACTCTACATTGTAGCACCACCATTTTTAGAGTTGCACTAGGCATGTGCAATTTATTGGTTATAAATAAAATTTCATGTTCAGTGTTGTACCTTCAAAGCGGAGTTGGACAGCCCCGCTTCATCCTTTGCAATTGAGACTTTTTATGTTTGCCTTAACAGTGGACATAAATGCTTTCTGGGCAGACTGTACTCAGGCACTTTTATGCATTCACATCACTCTTGCTTGAAGGACCACTCCTTTGTCATAGGCATTGCCTCTATGTCTCCTTTGGTCTTTGTGCATTTATCACTGACTTTCTTTTCTTGGGTTCTTAATGGATGAAATTAGTTTATGAATACAAAAACCATAAGAACCTTATTTTCTATTCTATAAAACTCCACTAGGGCTAAAATTTTCCCTCCCTCCCTCCCTCCCTCCCTCTCTCCCTTCATTCTCTCTCTCTCTTCCTTCCTTCTTTCTTCCTTCCTTCCTTCCTTTCTTTCTTTCTTTCTTTCTTTCTTTCTTTCTTTCTTTCTTTCTTTCTTTCTTTCTTTCACAGTAATTATAAATCCAGAGTCTGAGGAAAGGAGAAAATGAAACATGCCTATGTGTTCTGCTGTTTTTATTTTTATTTTTTTGGGGGGGGGGCTTGGCATACCTTGTGCAGATGTGCAGAGAAGGAATTCAGAAATTGACTGAAGTCTTACAAAATGTATTATGTAGAATGGAGAAGAGAGCCATAACTTAAATAAATGCAGTTTTTGTTAAATATATTATTGTGGAAACAGTTCAGTAAAACACACTACTAAAATGGAGAGAATTTATCACTGTATCACTGTCATCTTGTTGATCTTCGATTTATTCGAGTGGGTGCCAGTAACATCTCTATTCCTCCCAGCCCTGAGATTTTAGCAGCCTCTTCTTACTCGTCTTTTCCCAACAATTGGAGGCTCTTTCAGGGTCAGGGGAATGAGACCTGTTGTTGTTACTGTATTTGGCATATCGAATATGCCACGGGGAGCTTGCCAGGCTCTGCCCTGAAGGGTGGAATACTCTCATAGCTTGCTCTCCCAGAGGCAGGCATAAATGGGTAGTAAGTGTCCTGTAATCTCAGCCCAGTGCTCTGGAAAGCGGCCTGGAGTGAGGCGATGGTTGAGCAATGGAGGTCGGTTCCACTTATGAGAGAATTTATAAGCTTTTATTTTTTTTTTTACTTTATTTATTTAGTGGCCATACCCAGTGGTACTTGGGAGATTCTGCAGTGTTGAATCCAGGCCTCCCAAACATGCATTCCGCTCATGCACTCTCTTTCCAGGCCCAGAACCTACATAGTTTCATGGGCCCTGTAAATTACTCATGAACAGAGTGGTGTGACACAGTGATTAAGTATTTACTACTTGCCAGTGACTATACTAGATATATAAATATTATTTTTGTTAGTAGTTCAAATAGCCAACAAAAAAATGGGGGATTTGGTAGATATTCTATTTTCATTTATAGTAAGATCAGAGAGAGTTTAAGTGAATTGTCCCCATTCACATAGCATAAATATTGTGGGTGTGATCTAGCTTTACATTTTTATATCATTACATGGAAAGTTGGCAATGACACTGAAAACATTTTCCATACCTATAGACCATTGGACAATATAATTTTATAGTTATTTTTAGCTTGAGATTTTTTTTAAATAAAAGACATAGTTGTAGAATTTTTATCTGGCAGAAGTTTTATGATATTAAAAGGTTTAAAATATGTACACAGCTATGAAACAAATTGAATTTTAAAATCCAAAATTTAAAAAAATATTCACTTCTACTTACAACTTATGGTTATTCCGAGTTCCACATTGTGCTTCTTAGGGAGCTTTACATGAAATGTTCCACTACTTGGGATGACGGACTCTGTAATTTCAAAATTTAGAAAAGCATGTTTATATATGACCAGGAAGAATGAATCACCAATCAATGAAAATATATCAATAAGCTTTTTTTTTTTTTTTTTTTTGCAATACACTCAGTAGTGCTCAGGTTACTCCTGACTTGGTGTTCAGGAATCACTCCTGGCAGGCTCAGGGAACCAGATGGCATACTGGGGATCGAATGCATGTTGTCTGCATACAAGGCAAGCACCCTACCCATTGTGATATTACAAGAATATTTATGATCATGTCATTCAAGCAATGGCAGTGTAACTGAATGTCTGGAAAATCTCAACAAAACAAGCTTCTAGTGATGACTACGTCCTATGCAGAGTCATTAGTTCCAAATTCAAGCACCAGATGAGTTTAGCATTTCTGGAGTATGACTCAGGCAACATCTCCTGAAAATTTACCTGGGATACAAGTTAAAAATATAGACTGCACCCCAAATCTAGGGAACCAAAATCTCTGAAGGAAAAACCTAGAGAGCTATATATTACACAGTTCCCCAGGTGATTCTCAGACATATTAATGTTTAAAAAAATCACTGGTGTTCCCCTAACACATATAAACATTTACCCTATTTTTTCCTCTCTGTCTGTCTGTCTGTCTGTCTGTCTGTCTGTCTGTCTGTCTCTCTCTCTCTCTCTCCCCTCAGTGGTGTTGGGGCTCAAACCCACGGCCACAGCCTCCCATAGTGAGGCAAGCACTCTGCCACTGAGCCACATCCCTGGTCAACATTTACACTTTTCTTTTAGCGTGAGGGGAGGGGCTGGTTTGGGTTTTGGGCCACACCAATTGGTGCTTAGTGCTAACTCCTGACTCTGCTCAGGGATCACTTTTTTTTTTTAAGTTTTATTGAATTACCATGAGATAGTTACAAGCTTTCATGTTTGGGTTACAATCACACAATGATCAAGCACCCATCCCTCCACTAGTGCACATTCCCCACCACCAATTTCCCCAGTATACTCCCCCTTTCCCACTCTCCCCCTGCCTCCATGGCAGACATGATTCCCCATACTCTCGCTCTACTTTTGGGCATTATAGTTTGCAATATAGACCCTGAGAGGTTATCATGTTTGCTCCTTTATCTACCTTCAACACACATCTCCCATCCCGACCGATTCCCCCAACCATCTTTTCCTTAGTGATCCCTTCTCTATTCCAGCCGCCTTCTCCCCTTTGCCCATGAGGCAGGCTTTCAGCTATCTGTCCCATGTATCTACTACTCAGGGATCACTCTTGATGGGACTTGGGGTCCCGTTTCGGGTGCAGGGGCTTGAATACAGGTCAGCAGCATGCAAGTGCCTTAACTGTTGTACTATTTCTTCAGTCTGACATTTTACACTCTTATAAACTCATGTTTACTCAATTAAATTAAAAATGAAAAATTAAAACAAAAATTAGAGGTCTTTGAGCTGAGGATGCGTCTCAAGTGGGAGGATCACAAGCCTTGCCTCTGTGAGGCCCTGGAACCCTAAAACATCAATGGATAATAAGAACTCTAGGGTGGCGACAACCTCCTGAGCCCCTGCAACTTTGTTCGCTCTATAATATTCACCCAGAGTTCCTGATCCCACATTACTTTCTTCATCTGTTGTTTAAAGGGAGCTGGGTATTGGTTGTTGATTTGAAGAGGTAGGTAGATGCCTTAATTTTTAACAGTACAAAGTCTACTACAAGTAGAATCAGGAACGATATTCAACATATTTCATTTTCAGAACAGCACTGGCCACAGTTAGTTCAGATGTGGGTCACAGCACTGGAAAATAGGGCCCTAGGAGGCCCTACCAGCATGAAGGATGAGCTTCAATTTTTGGGTCCCAGAGAGTTCCAGGAGATCCAAGGGGGAAGGTATAAACTACAGAGGGTCACTGGGACTGGATGAAAGTGGGTTAGGTACTGGCCAAACAGTATAGAAGTCAGTATTGTGGCAACAGACAGGCGACCAGTGTGCCTGGGTCGCATCTCAACCTTGAGTAGAATTAAGTTGACTTTAAGTCAACTAAGTTGGCTTGACTAATATTTGAGACAGGAAGGACTACTCTTACCTATGCTCTTAAAATTCCTTTCACTGCCTGAAATATGATTAAACATTCTATCTCCCTTAGAAATAAGATTAAAGTGGAAATAGTCACTGAGAGGATAGCATCAATTCACAAAGTTGCTAATGACTACAGTTCTTCTCTGGAAGGTGTGGAGAGGGGATGGGTTGGAGTGATGAGAAGCAAAGAAAGCATTAACAGAAGGGGAAGAAGGTGGGAAGGCTGAACTAACCCACTTTTACTGCTTGGTTTTGTTCAAGGTTAACCCGCCAACCGGCACACAAAAAAATTAATGAGGCCACCTGTGAGTGGGTAGCTCCTGCCTATTAGGCTGAGCCCCGCTGGTCCTATTTACTAATCGCATATGTAACATTCTGCAAAGCAGAGGCCAGGTCAGACGTGGCTTCTGGGAAGCAGCCAATGCCCTGTGCTCTTTCTGGTTCTGCCTTCCTTGCTCTTCCTGGCCCTTTGTATACTCCCATGAGGAATTTAAGCAACTTTTTACAAGACCAGAGTTTGATCTTATTCAGAAGATTCACCATAGCTTGCTAAGCACAGACACAAAAATTTGATATTCTCACCCTCCCACCTTTCCTGGCTTTTAGAAACTTATCTGTTAAAAGAAAAAATAGAGGGGGAAAGAGGGATGGTGGGAGGAACCCTCCCCTCCGGCCTGGCAGTCTCAGTCACTGCTCCAGGTACTCCTTAATCTTCCATCTCTGACTTCACTTCCCACTCCGTCCTTCACTCCCAGGGCAGGGGATGCAGCTGGAGCCTCTCTCCATCTCCATCCCTCCTATCTTTCTAGCCCCATCAGGGGTCTGCTGAGTAGTCTTTGAGTTAATTTACTTTTTTAATTTTATTTTATATTTTGCTTTTGGGGTCACATCCAACAATGCTCAGGGGTTACTCCTGGCTCTGCACTCAGGAATTACACCTGGCAGTGCTTGGGAGACCATATGGGATGCCGGGGATTGAACCTGGGTCAGCTGCATGCAAGGCAAATGCCCTACCTGCTGTGCTATTGCTCTAGCCCCTGAATTAATTATTTTGACCTCACTGTCCTCCCCAACAAATAACCCACTGGCATGCCAGAAAATAACCACATCCATCTTCTAGTTTACATATTCATGAAAAAACTCATAAGCAGAACTTGAGATAAGTGAAATGTTTATGTCCCTATGTCCCTAACAGATTTCAAAAAGAAGGACTAGTTTTAACCTATTGAGTAGAAAAAAGAGAAAGGAGTAGAAAAACAGAAAAGAGGCCACTGAAGAACACTTAAGGGTGCTTTACTTTCTTCTTTCAGGTGTTGTAAGTATTATAAATATTTTCTTTCTTTCTGCTTTTTAGGTCACATCTGGTGGTGCTTAGGGGTTACTACAGGCTCTGTTTCAGGAATCACTCTTGATGGTGCTTAGGGGACTTTATGTCCCCAGGTGCTCAGGATGGAACCTGGGCTAGCTGTGTGCAAGGCAAGCATCTTACCCACTATACTATATCTCTGGAACCATAAATATTTACTTTCAAAGTAATTCTCAATGGGCTCATAAAACCAGGGATGTAGCTCAGGGGTAGAAGACATGTGGTACATGTAATGAGGCCGCTCTCTCTCTCTCTCTCTCTGTTTTCAATAAAATTCTTCAGAAAGGATGTTCTAATTTTATGAAAGGAGCCAGCAAGTATTTATATATTCATCAATCCCATACCTTCCGCCATCTCGCCATCTCTTTTCTGGATCCTAGAAGACTTATAAACAGACTTTCTCTAATTGCAACCTTCTATTCTACCTCTCACCAATAGTTCAGACATCTGGATTAGCATATAACCTGGGAGCAGAGAGAGGGACTTGGAAAGGTCCAGCTTTGCCCAGAGGCACCAGCAGCCAATTCTCAGAGAGAAGGAACAAAGGCACCACAGAGTGTGTGTGTGGGGGGGTGAGGTGAGAGATTGCCGTAGGCCAGGATAGCCCCTCAGGTTTTGGTCTGCCTTTGTCTCCATTTCCTGTCCTCCAGGGCTGTGGAAGGCCCTTGCACTTCTAGTACACACCTCTACTCTGTCTACATTAGCTCATACATATTTCTGTTGCTGACAACTGAAAGATCTCTGGCAAACACATTGATCCTATGGAGGAAATGGAACAAGAGCTAGGCAGAAAGTCCATTTACATGGGTTTATGGGTGCAGCAGCAATTGGAGTATAAGGTAAAGCATGTCAATGGCCCAAAAGTATATGTATAAAGAGCTTTACAAGAATAAATGGCTTCACTATTTGTGAAAAAGTTCTCAGTAAATGTGTGTGTGTGTGTGTGTGTGTGTGTGTGTGTGTGTGTGGTGTTTGCTTGTGTCTATGCTTACATGTAAGTATATAAGATCTTGCCAATGATACTATACAAGTGAGGTCTTTGAAACACAAAGGCTGGGAAACAGTGGTTCACAATAGTTACTATGGCAACATCTTGGCTTTCTACATTTTTAATGCAGGGAAACTTGACCAAGATTAACATTGTTAATGACATTGGAGGAGATATTCTCACATCCTGAAAAACAGTAATGGATCATATTTGACTACATAAGATTTGTAATACTCATAGTGATGAACAAATAACAAATGAATCTCTTTGCTCAAGCTGTTGCTTCATTTTAATCTTTAACCGCCAACATGACTTATTTTATCTTTGGCAATTTTTCCCTTTTACAATTATTTGGTTGTTAAAGCAAAGGCACACTTAATTTGAAGTTTCTTAAAGAAATATTAGTAAGAAGGAAACAAAGCCAATATTTGGAAAGAAAACACCAGGTTTAGAACAAGTAAACAGAATGTTTATTTTGTTAGACTCCTAAGTGATTATTCTGCACTCCCCTGATTTTGCTTTATCTTTGTTAATACTATAATTAAAAACACATTTGGGTAAGAAAAGGGGGAGGGGTCTTTT